AAACCATGATAAGGTCAAACTAAAATGGTCATTGTCTTAATTTTTATAGGGGGAATACAAACAATTAACAGGCTATGCTTCTGATTAAGGACCAATACCATTTTTAATCACCCATAAATTACGTACTGTTATAGGTATAAAGGCTTCTAAAGTTTATATTCATTAGTTTTACGGGGACAATAGGCTAACAATAACATAAAATCCTACTTAATATAATATAGTATTTCCCCACTCCAAATTGTAAATTCTTTAACTTAATTTGTCTAATGACAGGTGCAAAATATATAAACAACCAATCAGGATCAAGACCAAATAGAATCAATGCCTTACACACAAAGTAAGCATTTCAAATTGTCATACGCATGAAGTACAATCAAAGCTTGTATCTTAAAGCTTCATGATTTCTCATTTTTACAGTAATAAAACCAAAGGTTAAGGACCACTTTAATCAGGGCCAGGGAAGAGAAAAGGATCTTTACAGGACAGAAATTTTCAAAAACTTAGGACCACAAAATGGCTTATTTTCCTGATTTTTTTTTTAACGTAGCAAGAAATAATCATTAGAGGTTAAATTAAAACAGTAGTAAGTTTTCTGCTTCTTTGAGCTGCTTTCTAATTCAGCCTGAACAGCTGACTTTGCATCCACCTTAGTTTTGCAAGGCACACCTGCCTTTAAAATGAATGCATCAACTCTTACATGCAATAAATTTTCATCCTTTGATCTCTTATTGCATTGTGTTTCAAAACATCAAAGAATCTAAAGCTGCGTCTTTAATATCAGCCAAACCTCAAAACACACAGCTCTGAGTTTGATCCTGAGCCTGCAAAATCAAAAGACTTGCAATCTTAGCCATAAGCTGAAGTGGTTCTTTTTTGTCAGCAATTTTAAGGCTTGAAGGATTAGATAAAAATTTATCGCTACAAAGTAATGAGATTTTCTTTTTAAACAATCTTAACCCAAAGGTCTGCCTCCTAACTAGCCCTTATTCATATAACAGCAGGATCCTCCAATACTTTCCTTACCCCAATGGACCACTCCCCTCTTGATTTCTGAAGGAGAAATGGGTTTGTCACCCAGATTCCTGAGTCAGTCCCTGCTACCCAATTTAAGGCAACGCCTTGGGCCACCATCACTGCTGTCAGCTCTGGATTTCAAATCCCTGCTCCCAGCTCCTCTCAACCCCTGTCCATTGTCTTGCCTCCTGCAACTAGTTATTTTCTCAATACCCTATTTATCCCAAGTGTGGAAAACTGCCACTTCTCCTTCACTCAACATAGACTATTATTACATAGTCCTTTTATCAAAGGTTTAAGGGTAAGAAAGGGTAATTATAGCACAGTGCAGAAACAACTTCAAATTGAATCCTACTTATCACTATTATTAAAGGTTCCTTACCATTCCTGATCATCTTTTTCCTCAAGCCCCTCCCTCTCTCATGGTTCTGGAGCCTTCCCTCTCACTCCAAACCCTACCCCTATCTCTCTTCTATTTCCTGCTCCTAACAAATTTAGCCAAAGAGAGGGCATTCCTCAAATTTCTGTTACTTTACTCTACAAAGGGAATCTAAGCTCTTTTCTTTCAGGCTTTTCCTTCCAAACACTGCCTCGAGACCTCACCTTTCACAACTAACAAAAAAGCCCATCTAGGTGTCTTCTAAACAAAAGTTCACTTTTTTCTCTGTAAGGAATGTTCTGTCCTTTTAGGTTATCTGGCAAAAGCTGCAGCCCATCCCCAAAGTAATAATTTTTCTTTCTTGTTACAAAAACACATCAGAAATTTTATAGTCAAATGACTATTGTACTCTTCAAAGAAGCTCCAGGAGAGGTTATTCACTTAATGAAATATTATCATCATTACTCTTGAATTATTTTCTACACAATTTACTAATTCTTTCAGAAAAGTGGCTTAATGCTGTGCCTCAAGACATCTTCCTTTGGTCCAATTCTGTTACCTCTGCTTCTCTCTCTCATTCTCATTCCTACATTCATTCAACCAACCAATGGACATGGCACTAGGTGTGGGAAACACCATCCTAGTACTCAAGATACTCTCAATCCAGAAGGTGCTGTACCCGTGCTACCTATGAACTAGGAGATGAGGAGGGTGGGGTTCTGTGTGATTAGACTGAGTTTTGAAGTTAGGAGGAATTTTATTAAGCTGTCACTGGCTTATATGGATACTTTAGGCTTGAGAAGGAAAGTTGCTGCCTGTATGCTGATCATTTATGCCTTCAGTCTAAAAAGATATATAGCACATTTCTCCAGGTAGGCTAACAATGCTAGTAATGCTGCCTCCTTCCTGAAAATACTATGAGTATGTAGTTGGTAGAATGCTTAAAACCAAACTGTCCTAAATTTTAACTGTTTTTCATTCATTCATTCAACCAAGAAGTATTTATAGTATTTACTTTCTCTGGGCTTGAGAAGGACAGCTTCATCTACTGAATGTCACATTCATTTAAAATTATGTTCTGAGTATTGTGTTACATCAATTGAATGAACAAAGGCAAGAACTGTCTGGTCAATTATACCTCAATAAGGCTAGGGGAGAAAAAAGAACTATCTGCTACTATCACAATAACAGATCTTCACAATGATAGTTTTGAGCTATCAGTAAAAAAATTGTTATATCTAATATATTATTTTGGAGGAGAGGCAAGCATATAATGCATTTTATAAAGAAAATGTAAGGTAATCCACAAAAGTAATCTATTTAACTCTTTGCATTTGAAGAGTTAATCTTTAGCTACATGGAAAATTCAAATATTCAGAAAGATATTTCTTTTCTCCAGGGATTCCAGAGAGTAAAAGTTTACTCTACTTGATAATGTATAATTCAAGTTTTAGGCAATTGAATCTTAATCCCAAAACAATTTTTAAGTAAACATCCTCTGTAAATTTATTTATTTTCAGTATATCATGTAAAATAAGGGAAATTCACCTAAGTGTTTCTTACTGTTCCACTTTTGTTGTCTAAGCCAATGCTGAACAAAGTTGTGAGGTACTCAAAGTTTCTCATTGGTGTACTCCTATCTCCCTAACTCCTGGAGAGCAATTTGAACCCATACTATTCTGTGGCTGCTCAAGGCTTCTCCAGATCATTGTACCTGACAACATCTTATCCCTGACTTATTCTTCAAAACATAACCATCCTTGGTCATATTCCCTCCAGCATCCAAGTGCAAATTGGGCTAATGTCATAAACTAACTCAAGCTAACATATTAATTAATGATGATAATAGCTTAATATATTGCTGCTTTCAGGGAAATGTGCAAAAAAATAAATGTATAGAAATATAATACTGTAATCCAAGAGCAGGGGCCGTTTTCCCTTTTACAGTCACTGACCAACTAAACCTCAAACTAAAATAATAAACAAAAAAACCAAACAAATGTCAAGAGTTATAACAAAAATAAACCAGCTTAAATTTAACTTTAGTTTGAGAAAGAGGAAATGAAACTATACTACGTTGTATTTTTATATAATTTGCACATGTATTTAGTGTTCTTTCATACGTATACATATTTTATTTAGTTTAATATTTAAAACAATGCTGTAAGTTTATATTATTCCCATTTTTTAGATGAGAAAATTTAGTCTCAAAGAAGTTATGTTACTGACTATAGAATGCCAGAGCAGGGACTCTAAACAATTCTAATCCCAAGTCAAGTGTTTTTCCATTATGCACAGCTTCTATAAATGTTCATAATATCTCATTTTAAACTAAATAAAAGAAACACGAAAGCATATAAACATAATGATAAAGCTACACTTTAATTCCACATATGGCCAGTTTAAAAGGGAAATGGGGAGTAAAATGGGGAGGGAGCGTAGGCAAGCCAGGCAAGAGAAAAAAGAAGGAAAAGAGATTATTGGGCAGAAAATGTCAGATACAGGAATAGATAAGGGAAGGAAAGAAAGAAAAAGACAAGTGCATCTGAAAGGAAGGAGGAGCTGAAGTCTGGGCTCTTTGGGGTCCTCACTGGTGCTTCCAGCCAACACACCTGGCTCCACATCTCCAGAGCAGTCTTGCTCTGCATTCCTCCTTCTTGGCTTGAAGCAGCCAAAAATTTTCCCCCATCTAAGCTGTCCAGAGAGCTCTGGCCCAGTATTTCCACAGGTCCCCAGAGCCCTGACCATACCTTGGTCTAACCACTGTAACTAGTTTTCCTTTTACCTCCTTAGTTACAAAACTAAAAGCAATTCACTTTAGAAATCTGCATTATCCTCTATCTCTGAGAATTAATGGAGACTTAAGCACTGACCTGATAGCAACAAAAGCCTGATAGTAGCAACAAAACAATAAACAAATCAAAACCAAGACTTCCACCATTGAAATAGCCAATGCCCAAACTTGCCTAATGTACACATTTTTCACTGAAAAATCACTGTTCTAAGTTAGATATACCATAGATAATAAAACACCTACACATATTCACCACTTATGTTTCTAGGTTTTTGTTTTATTTAATTTATTATTTAGATAAATTAAGTATAATTGCTTTCAAAATGAGACAAATATCCTATATTACTAGCCTTTAACAAACTTTTTAAATTGGTATAATATTTTAATTAAAAGAACAGGCTTGAGAGACACTGAGTTTGAATCCCAGCTTAGGCTCTTAGTAACTGAGTGCCTTTGGGCAAATTACTTAATATCTTTGAACTTTAGGTTCTTCATCTATGAAACGGGGCTAATAATATAGTACCAATCACATAGGTTATTTTAAGAATTAAATGAGTTGAGTGCTTACAACCGTACAACATGTAGTAAGAATTTAACAAATGTTATTATTAGCTACTAACTTTGCTACTTCGCTGCACAAAACTTAACTGTAGTATACCTTTTTGCTCTTCTAAAAAAAAGATTAAAGTGATTTTAGATGTTTTAGAAAAAACTGAATTTTTAAATAATCAGTAATAAAAAATTAAAGTCAAATACTGATAGTTATATATACTAAAATCAAAAAGCAGAGATGTCCTTTTACAGATAGTTTACCTCAAAGTCTATCAACTGTAGGTCAGCTATCAGTGTCACCAGCAGCCCACTATTGTAGAGTTCTTGTGCCAGCTGAGCCACAACTTCCGTTGGGGGTTCCTTGTCATTTGCACCACACAGAATTTCTTTCATTGCTTGCAGTGATTTCGACACTTCTTCTGAAGTCTAGTGACCAAAAAGTATGCTAATAGTTAAGAACAATAAAAATTTTCAGGCTATAAACAAACAAAAACCACTTCTTGGGCCCTGATTATTTATGATCAAAGAATACTGTACAGTTACAAACAAACAAAAACATTTAGTAGGCACAGCTTTTTTATTTTAGAAAATGTTACTACAATTTATTTATATAAAAAAGATCTCTAGTATTTCTACTTAGTCAACATAATTGAAACAATCTTCCTTTAAATCATACTCAGACACAGCCAACTTTGCTAGTAATTAACTATAAAAATAACTCTTGAAAATTACATTTGACTCCATTTTGAAGACTTATCAGTAGCTACTAGTATTTACTTAAAGCATTTGTTAAAGTTTTTCAACAAATCCCTATTCTGATTTTTTAATGGACTAGGTATAAAATCATAAGCTGCCAAAACCCATAAACTTTGTCAATCCACTTACCCCTCACACATAATCATTATCTTTTTTGCTGTCTATGAAACTTCCAAAAAAAACCCACCTCATTGCATATTAAAGAATAATAGGAAAATCCATAGAAGTAGAAAGTAGATTAGTGGGTGCTAGGGCCTGGAGAGGGGAGAATGAGGAACGACTGCTAATAGGTACAGGGTTATATGATATGTGAATCACACTCAACAAAAATTTTTGAAAAATTAATACAGGTGAGGAAAGGAGAACAGGCCAATTAGTTAATTTGATTTGCTAAATATTTTTAAAGAAACGCAGTTCTATTACTTTCAAGTAAAGTACTCTAATCATTATAACTGAAAAAGGGAATAAGGCAAAATAAATAAAAATAATTCATAGTAGCACGACATTACTTTAAAAAATAATTTCCAGATACATTTTATGACCTGATCAAAGCAATCCTTAATTTATTGAAGGTTAGAAGCTGGGGCCTGCCCCGTGGCATAGCAGTTAAGTGGGCATGCTCAGCTGCTGGCTGCCCGGGTTCAGATCCTGGGCGCACACCGATGCACTGCTTGTCAGGCCATGCTGTAGTGGAGTCCCATATAAAGTAGAGGAAGATGGGCACGAATGTTAGCCCAGGGCCAGTCTTCCTCAGGAAGAAAAAAAAAAAAAGAGGAGGATGATTGGCATGGATGTTAGCTCAGGGCTGATCTTCCTCACACACACACAAAAAAACAAATAAAGGTTGTAAGTTTCTTAAATTATGAGATATATCCACAGAAGAGTACCTTAAACATATATATAAAGAGTAATTATAATGCAAACACCTGTGTGACCATAATGTAGGTCAAGAAATAGAACATTTTTGGTACACCAGAAGACACCTGAATGCCCCCTTTTCAGGCTAGAAGTAAATACTTTCATGTCTTTGATGACAATCATTTATTTACTTTTCTTTACACTTTTCTCACTTACGCTTGCATCCTCAAACAATACAGTTCAGTTCTGCTGATTTGGAACAGCATTTGTATGTACCCTTTTATGACTTGCTTCTTTCTCTCAACACCATATTCACCCATGCTGCTGCATGTAGGCAGCAGTTCTCTAATTTTCTTTGCTCTATAGTATTCCATTGATGGCTAGACCACAACTTCTTGATCAGTTCTACCATTGATGGACATTTGGGTTGTTTCTATTGAAGGGTTATTATGAACAACAATGTTATGAACATTCTTGTACATGCATCCTGGTGCACATTTGCAAGAACATCTCTAGAGTTTATACCTAAGAGCAGAACTGCAGGGTTTCAGAACATGCATATCTTCACATTTCAGATAATATACCAAACTGGTTTCCAAACACCAATTTATGCTTTATTACTCACAGTGAATGAAAGTTCTTATTGCTCTCCATACTTGTCAACCTTTAATACTACCAGATGTTTTTCCTTTTTGCCAAGATAGTACGTGTGTAATACGAATTTATTGTGGTTTTAATTGACCTTTTCCTGATTACTAATGAAAATGAGTATCTCTTTACGTTTTTCTCTTTTTTCTCTTTTGTCATTTAGATTCACTTTTTTTAATTTTTTATTTCTGGTGAGGAAAATTAGCCCTGAGCTAACATCTATTGCCAATCCTCCTCTTTTTGCTGAGGAAGATTGGCCCTGAGCTAGCATCTGTGCCCATCTTCCTCTACTTTATATGGGACGCCGCCACAGCATGGCTTGATAAGCGGTGCGTAGGTCCATGCCCGGAATCAGAACCTGCGAACCCTGGGCTGCCGAAGCAGAGTGTGCAAACCCAACCACTATGCCACCAGTCCGGCCCCTAGATTTACTTTTATGAAGGTCATTTCTTCTTTCTACTTGGGCCAATATTTGGCTCAATATTACAAAGTTCACTAGAATTAAAAATATATTTTTTATCCTTATAAGAATACAAGATTGTACCATACACTGGGACAGAAAGATACTATGAACTTAAGGGTATTAACTTTATAGATATTGTGAATCTTGCCATAAACTAACACTTTAGAGAGAAATCCAATATGTAGGATTCAACATCCCTTTGAAGGAATAACTAAAATACTAAAAAGCCCTTCCTATGAGGAAGCCTTACTTGGTAAGATCTTAAAATAATGCTAAAATGAGGTTGCACTGTAGCAATTATCAGTTGCATAAAATCTGAAATCAATATAAATGTGTTTATAGGAACTCTATGTGCACATAACAGACCCATCTGGGACTCTAACTCTAAGCTTTTATGCTGTTTTTTGGTCTTGGAATACATGTATTTTAATGATAATGTTATTGTTTTAGCACATACCTTGTCTGTCTTTTTGTCTTGCTTTTCCAAAATGGCCATGTTGTCTTTCAGAGTTTTCACAATTTCTGCTGGATTTTTGTGTGATTTACTAAACAAAGGCATTTTTTTCATCTATAGAAATCTCTTCTTCCAATATGGAATGCTAAAAACAAACAAACATCATGAATTTAACTCAATGTGATTAAACTGTTATATCAAAATGCTTTATAAGTTTTCAATAACCTCAGTTCAGTAATTTGAAACATTAAAATCAATCAGACGAAAATAGGTTTCATCAAGTTTTATACCAAATTTAAATACATATAAAATATTTTAAGGAAGATATTTTAAAAATTTTACTTAAAAGTTTTCACTCGGGCCAGCCCCGTGGCTTAGCGGTTAAGTGCGCGCGCTCCGCTACTGGCGGCCCAGGTTCGGATCCCGGGCGCGCACCGACACACCACTTCTCCGGCCATGCTGAGGCCGCGTCCCACATACAGCAACTAGAGGGATGTGCAACTATGACGTACAACTATCTACTGGGGCTTTGGGGAAAAAAAGGAGGAGGATTGGCAATAGATGTTAGCTCAGAGCCGGTCTTCCTCAGCAAAAAGAGGAGGATTAGCATGGATGTTAGCTCAGGGCTGATCTTCCTCACAAAAAAAAAAAAAAAGTTTTTACTCAAAGTTTAAAATCTTTCCTACAATAGAAACACAAAGATTATGCAAGAATGGAAAAGGAGTACTTTTCAAAAATAAGCCTATATTTATTTATTTTATTATTATTATTTTTTAATTACAATCAAAAATATATTTAAAAAAGGAAAGAAACATGTCCACTTTATTTGGTTGTGACAGGCTTTTTAAGCCTATATTTAAAACAAGATATTTTGACTAAGGAGAGTAATGATGATAATGATGATAATAATAGATAAAATAAAACATGAAAAACAAAAGGGGGGTTAGGACTCACGTACTGCGGTACAACAATATTTAAAAGCATACTACACCATAGCAATCACAAAATTGCAATGTAAAATTATTTCAAATCTGTTCTTTATTTGCTCTTTAAATATTCAGCTAGCCATACTCACTGATAAAATGAAGACTATCATGGTGGATGGTGAGGAAGGTGGGGAAAAGGAGTTTCAATTCTTGTTTTTGAGAACAATTATTTACATAGAACAGAAAAAGCCAAATACGGCTGTCATTGCCCTATTTATATAAAAAATAATAGAGAAAAAATCTTATAACTGAAGGCTCCAGTTAGTAGAGGTATATTCATTTACTTTACATTTATTTGAAAAAATATTTCAAACATTATAGAAATATGATGTAATAAATCAAAGGTTCCCATTAACCAATTACCCAGAGATGACAACTATTATCAACTTGGTAGATAGTCCTCCCAAATTTTTTCTAGACATATAAAAATAAATATATTTTAAAGCAAAAATAGAATAATACTAAACATAGTATTTTGTAACTTCTTCTCACTTTTTATATCTTGAATATCATTCTATGAGTGTATGTTTAGTTCTACTACAATATTTTTTACAGTAATATAGCATTCCATTATACAGATACATTACATGATTATTATTGTTTGCAATTTCTTATTAAATTATTATAAAAGTTATGTTACCAAGACCCTATTGATGTACTTTTGGGCTAATTCCATTTTTCCTAATATTTTTCTTATTAACAATGATGCAATTAATCAATGAAGAATATTACACACAAACGTGCATACACAAACATATACACCAGTTGACAGCAGGACTCTAACCAGCTATTCCTATAGTATAACCTTGGTTATGGTTCTAAATCCCTCATCTCCCTATATTCCTACTTCCCAAATCTGGTTCCCTAGGATTTCTGTCAGATCTGTGAGTTACCTTATATCGTTCTAATAAATGCCTTCAGTATTTGTTGTTTGTGACCAAGAATTCCATTGGGATACATATACGTTATGAAGTAGAAATCAAAACTGTTGGTGTGAATTTTGATGATAAAACAGAAGACTTAAGGCCAGCCCAGTGGCGTAGTGGTTAAGTTTGTGTGCTCTGCTTTGGAGGCCCGGGGGTCACAAGTTCAGATCCTGGGCGCAGACCTACCCATTGCTTATCAAGCCATGCTGTGGCAGGTGTCTCATATATAAAAAAAGTGGAGGAAGATGGGTACGGATGTTAGCCCAGGGCCAATCTTCCTCAGCAAAAAGAGGAGGACTGGCAATGGATGTTAGTTCAGGGGTAATCTTCCTCACCAAAAAAAAAAAACAACAAAAAAACCTAGAAGACTTAAAAAACATTCCCTATTTTCAGTAGAGATGCTGTTTTTGGTACGGATGCCTCAAGTCTCCAATGTGGGGAGGGTAAGAGTGATGGGAACTTGTCCACTCTCAGGGTGTGGATAAGTTTGAACAGCATATTAAGGGACACCAGTCAGCCTTTAAAGCAGATACTGAAAGTTGACAGAGTATTCAAAGACAAAGTATATGAAGACCACACTGTGATTCTCAGAGGGTGGTGTCAGGAACAAAAAAGAGAGCATTGGAAGAACATTGTGTCTGGTTCCTTTATAAAACTCAAGAATAAAATCATAAGGATGTACTAGGTTTTTCTTTAATAACCAGCCCTACACATAAATAAATAAAGGTAGAGTGTATTTAAAAGTTTCTGTAGTGTGGAGGTGGGGTGGGTGCTGAAACAATCACTGATCATTGCGCAGAGCAAGCAGTCTGTTGCTTCCTACCTGGGTGATCTTGGGCACAGTATGGGATCTCTCTAAGGCTCTGTGTTATCTGTAAATGGGGATGATAACACCTCCCTCTCAGGGTTGTTTTGAGGATTAAAGCTATGAAGAGCACCTTGCACAGGCCTTGTATAGGTGAGGTACTCTATGTTTAGGTGCTATATTATTACAAAAAGTTCCATGACATAATTAATGAATTATTTCACTAAACAGTAAGGCATAGGAATTGAGATATGATTTTGTCTTAATTAAGTGTCCTAGACACTTCTGGCTCCTGGAGTCACTCATACATCTTTTGTTTCAAAAAAAATAAAAATTTATTCTTTGAATTTTGAATTTTAAATACTCAATATTCAAATATTTAGCATTAAAACTGTTTTTTTTTAAAAAGGCTAAATGCATTTGTGTAATTGTTCTCTTTCTCTATGTAGTTCTACTGCACTAAGAGTTCACTGTACGAATTTCAACTAAATACTCCCTGACATCAAAACAGAGTACAAATTATGATAAGGAATCACATATATGATACGACATGATTTTTGTCCATTACCTATTGCTCTGCTCAGTTCTCACTGTATCAAGCTAATTCTCATGCCAACTTTGCTGAAATTATAAATGTTTTCAGGACTTCCATGTTAACATTGTAGTTAGCATTTCCTAATTTACTGTCTCCCAATTTTTCATTTGCCTGTTGGTTTGTTTATTTCTTCATTCACTTACTCATTGAACAAACAATCTGAGTAAGTACTAAGCACAGGCACCTTGCTAAGTACTAGGGATAGAGCCATGAGTAAGAAAAACAATCCCTGCTCTTTGGAGATTATTATTAAGTGGAGAAAGCAAACATTTTAGGGGCAATAAAATTATGTAACAGAAGGAAATAACACACAGTATATATGCCTCTTAATACAGCATTCCCTTTTTCGAATTTATTATTTTCATATTTTAAATGTATCTATTTACATAATAACTATAAAATTAGTTTAGTAATGTTTTAAAATTTCATAAGATCATTCTTCAATTCTGCAATCCATATTTTGAGGGGAATCAAAATCTATATTCTCAAACTACGCAGTTCCAGGCCCCAAATCCCCTACAAATTAGGGTGAAACTCTCCTGCCTGCTCTGTTTTCCTCAGACCAAGACAGCCCTACCCCATACCCAAACTGAACACCTCCCCCCACCACCCTCAAACTTGGGGATGCCCTTCCTACTACTCTCTGGGCAACTGTGCTGGTCACTCATGTGCACCCACCCCAATCACGTCATTCAACCCACCAGTCATAAGAAATGAGCCAACTGGCACTCCACACTACCTGCTCAACAACCATAAAGTCTAGTTCTGAGTTGGTAACTGATCTACTATAATTTAAAGTTATCACTCTCGTCTGAGTGTCTTTGTTCTATTTATAAAAAGAAAGTTTGGGTTTTTTTTAACTTAACTAAATAACTGTGAATTCACCTAGTCATATCATTTAACTCATATTTTCCATTTTCATGAACATATCAAGAAAAATTTTGTCAAATGTTTTGGGAAAGTCCAGATACATTATATTTATTTGTCAATTCCAGTTTACTTTATTTTTTTTACACCCCCATGACATTTATTTTATAACAGGAAGTTTGTAGCTTTTGATCCCCCTTCCACCCCTTTCATCCACCCCCCAATCCCTGCCTCCGGCAACTACCAATCTGTTCTCTGTATCTATGAGCTTATTACTATTTGCTTTTTAGATTCCCCATATAAGTGAGATCATACAGTATTTGTCTTTCTCTGTCTGGCTTATTTCACTTAGCATAATGCCTTCGAGGTCCATCCATGTTGTCGCAAATGGCAAGATTTCATTCCTTTTATGACTGAATAATATTCCATTATATATATATACACCACATCTTCTGTATCCATTCATCCATTGATGAATACTTAGATTGTTTCCATGTCTTGGCTATTGTAAAAAATGCTGCAATGAACATGGGGGTGCGTATATCTTTTCGAAGTATTGTTTTGGTTTTCTTCAGATAAATATCCAGAAGTGAAATTGCTGGATCATATGGCAGTTCTGTTTTTAAATTTTTGAGGAACCTCCATTCTGTAAGATGGGGGTTCTTAAAGAAAGAGAACCATATTTTGAAATTAGATAGGCCATATATAGGGAGCTCTCAGTTATTCATCGATGGTCCATATCCATTCTGAGTCTTTAACTCCTAGTATTCAACATGGCCAAAGATAAAGTGCATATGACGGAGGCAAAAGGAATGGAGGAGTCCTGAAAATGGTGCTTTGCGGGGATAAAGTGGTAGTAGTAATTTTTCCATAAAGTCTACCTCAGAGTCTTTAGAACATACATTATATTTCAGCAAAGCAGGAAGCAAGCACAGGAGATGTCATGTTAAGTCCAACAGACTGACA